CCAGCAACACTTGCAACCCCATTTACAATGCGGGAACGATCCTACAGTTGCAAATCACAATGGAATTCTGTCGACCACACATGCACGAAAAACAGTTGACCCCCCATTTACAATGCGGAACCGATCCGAGAATGATCCGAGGATGATCCGAACATATCCGAGCATGATCCGACCACACACGAGACCGTCTCGCACCCGTCGCACCGCAAAGGTAGATCATCGAGGTTCGGGGACGGACTTTGTATGGAAAAACATAGGGTTTCGTGCATCTGCTATCTCTCAAAAACGCATTTCGTGCGAGACTTCCTTCAAAACTCCATCGGCAACTCCTCCACCAGCACCACGTGCAATCCCATTTACAGTGAGGGAACGATCCTAGAGTTGCAAATCACAATGGAATTCCATCGGCAACTCATCCACCAGCACCACTTGCAACCCCATTTACAATGTGGGAACGATCCTACAGTTGCAAATCACAATGGAATTCTGTCGACCACACATGCACGAAAAACAGTTGACACCCCATTTACAATGCGGAACCGATCCGAGAATGATCCGAACATATCCGAGCATGATCCGACCACACACGAGACCGTCTCGCACCCGTCGCACCGCAGAGGTAGATCATCGAGGTTCGGGGACGCACTTTGTATGGAAAAACATAGGGTTTCGTGCATCTGCTATCTCTCAAAAACGCATTTCGTGCGAGACTTCCTCCAAAACTCCATCGGCCACTCCTCCACCAGCACCACTTGCAATCCCATTTACAGTGAGGGAACAATTTCTTGTGACTAACTCTTTCCCTCACTAACTCTTTCTTTGACTAACTCTTTCCCTGACTAACTGTTTCTTTGCTAACTCTTTCTTTGACTAACTCTTTCCCTCACTAACTCTTTCTTTGACTAACTCTTTCCCTGACTAACTGTTTCTTTCCTAACTCTTTTTTTTTTGACTAACTCTTTCCCTCACTAACTCTTTCTTTGACTAACTCTTTCCCTGACTAACTCTTTCTTTGACTAACTCTTTCTTTGACTAACTCTTTCCCTGACGAACTCTTTCTTTGCTAACTCTTTCTTTGACTAACTCTTTCCCTGACTATCTCTTTCTTTGACTAACTCTTTCCCTGACCAACTCTTTCTTTGACTAACTCTTTCCCTGACTAACTGTTTCTTTGACTAACTCTTTCTTTCACTAACTGTTTCTTTGCTAACTCTTTCTTTGACTAACTCTTTTCCTCACTAACTCTTTCTTTGGCTAACTTGTTTCTTTGCTAACTCTTTCTTTGACTACCTCATATATCCTGACTAACTCTTTCCCTCACTAACTCTTTCTTTGACTAACTCTTTCTTTGACTAACTCTTTCCCTGACGAACTCTTTCTTTGCTAACTCTTTCTTTGACTAACTCTTTCTTTGACTAACTGTTTCTTTGCTAACTCTTTCTTTGACTAACTCTTTCTTTGCTAACTCTTTCTTTGACTAACTTTTTCCCTGACTAACTCTTTCTTTGACTAACTCTTTCCCTGACATTCTAAAAGTCCGTAACACGGAAGTTTCTCCCCCTAAACTTCCTTTGATCATACAAGATGAGCTATAACCTGACGATGAATTTTTTCTCATCTCTCTCCAGATCATTTCTGTTAAAGGCCTTTTGTCGCATAGTTCCTAACACTCCATATCTCGGGGGGGAGGGGGGTAGGGGGGGGCGGGCTCAAGTTAGACGAGGCAAAAATCCGCGCCAACGGGAGAGTCTAGACAAAGACCAAAAACAAATCAAACAGTACAACTACGAACAAGCAACATCCACAAGACACGCCGGCAGGCCGGCGGATTTTCAAGTTGATCTGGTTTCGCACTGTTTTCACACTACTTGAGTCTTTTATACGGTGCCCGCCCAGGCGTGCAACTTTCACTTCATGCCACCGGTGGCCCGCCGGTGATTGTTGTAGCAGTTGACATTGTTTGCATCCTTGGCTGTTGATCCAATAACGACTGTCCGCAAACGCTGGCATTGTCTTAATGAGGCTGTCGCTGAGGCCTCATTTGTGTCATGCCGTGTTTATATACATGGCAACAAATTTTGATGTTGAAACAATGGTTGCACCAATAAACAATTGGTCCTACAACATGTTTTGCGAGGGCCCCCCAATGATGGCAACAACTTTCCAAAAGCCACCATCATTGCATGCAAAATCCTTTTGAACAATTTTGTCGTGACCAGCAAAAACAATAACCAAACTGACCACCGCGTCAAGGAATCGTGTCGTATCCGAACAGAGGCAACCAAATCCACATAGCGGAAATTTTGTGCATGTGATGCTACCGCTGTGGAAAATGACGGTATATAAATATAATATACAGCCACTTGCACAGCCCAGATTGAACTTGCACCACACTTGATTTCAAGAGCGCGCAGGCCGTTGGACGGGCATGTTTGAGACACCACGGCGCAAGGAAATTCCAAATGTTCCAAGGATTATCATTTTTTGAAAGGTGGCAAGCATTGTTCAACTCTAAATTTTCCCAACCTTGGTTCCTCGCGTGAAAAAAAAATCAATATTCGTCCACAATTTGCATGTTCAGTTTTGTATTTCCAGACAAACTTGTGATACTTGGCGGCCTGTGTCTGTGTCAAAGTGCGCTTTTGTTTTTGCATGCTACCGCACGAAGGTGTTGCGGAGCACGTTCGAAAACGTAGAAACCCACAGCGCAGATGAACAGTGTTGCTTTGAGATCGTTTTCGCGGAAACTACGGGGAATCATTTTTGCTGAAGGGTAAACTGCGTGCTGGCTACACTGCAAAGGGCGCTCCGCGACAGGCTATGCGGGGTTGCTTTTACTGCAGAAGTAGGCTTCGCGGTGCCTACGCGCAATATTTGTCCTACGCGAGAGGCTACGCAAGGCTACGCAAGGCTACGCAAGGCTACGCAACGCTACGCAACGCTACGCAACGCTACGTGTTTCTACAACAATTTCCCCCCCAAACAAATCCTGCTTAAGGGGATGCCAATCCTTGCATGTTTGGTGGACAACGGTTGGATGGGTACACATGGTGGTTGAGTGCTAGCCAGTATTTTTGTGAGGCCGCAGAATCGTTGACTCGAGAAACCACTTTTGAATATATTTTGCGCTCGTGGACTCGTGGGGGGTTGCAAAACTCACCAGTTGCAAGCATCGAATTAATTACACGAAGGAAACAAATAATGTAGGCAAAAAAACTGGTGGTGTGTCGCTTGAAAAAAATTGCAGCGCGCACTCAGCCTAGTCTAGTTTGGGATGTTTTGCTGCATGACATATGCTGCCTTTTCAACGCACCGGTGTGCAAAAAATGCGCGCTGCAAACATGGAACCAGTGGTCAACAAATTTGGTTAAACGGTCCTATCAAATTGCTGTATATGTTGGAGGGACATTCCGGCAGCTCGTTGCTCTCACCTGGTAATAGTTCAGGATTTACCCATGCAAAAGCAACCAAAAATACCCATTGCCAATGTCCGAACAATTTTGTGGTTGGAAAAACGTGGGTAGATGGAAAGTTAGGTGGAAACATCCATCATAATCCATTCATTCCCGAAGGCTTTTGCGACAGGTTTTTCCCGAAAAAATGCTGCCAAATTCAACTTCTTCACTTCATCTACAAAAAATATCCTACATCCTTTACATCAGCTACATCATCTACATCAAGTTTACCCACATCACACACATTGTTTACATTTCCTACATCTCCCACATCTCTCACTATATCCTCTACATCATCTACATCATCTACATCATCTACATCACATGCATCATCTACATCAAATTCATCAACATCACATACATTATCTACATCAAACACATCAATTCAGTCAGTTTCATCCACATGACATACATCACCTACATCACCTACATCAGTTTCATCTACAAGTGCTCAAAGTGTACATATCCCCTACAAAAATTCTACTACCGCGCCAGGTGGTGGCGGAAATTTCAAAAATAGGAAACCTATAGGAGAGGTTGGTTGTTGTGAAACACGGATGGCAGAGCGAATCCTTTGATGGACCGAAAGGTGCTTGGAGTTGTGGTTTTTGGGGTGGTTGCAATGGTTGCAGTGCTTTCCCCACAACTGCTGGCTGTAGTATGGCGTAGTGCAGTTGTGATTGTAGTTGTAGTGTAGTGGAGTTGTAGATGTATGTTGTGTAATTAGTGTGGTGTAGTGGCAGTTGTAGTTGTAGTTGTGGTGTGGTGTAGTTAGCGTAGTGTCGCGAGCGTTTGTAGAGGGTTCCAGGTCAAACAGGTAAAGGTTGTAACTTACAACGTTCTAAGTTTCACACACGTCTTCTTTTCACTTAGTTTGTAGCTCAACATGTGCTACCGCAGCCTTTCAGGATCTGTGTTAAAAGAGCGAACCCAATACGTCCCCCTGTTGTGTCACCCCGCGCGCATGGTAGCGCGGAGCCTCTGAAACACCAGGTTCCGACAACACGGCGGAGTGGCAAGGTCGACCTTGGCCACCCCCGCCACCGCCGTTGCCTCGGCGACTACAAGCACAGTTGCAAGAAGAAACCTTTCGAAAGGACACTTCTGCAAACCAACCTTCCCAAAGGTTGACAACACAGCACCCGAAAGCAAAACCTAGTGCAAACAAACGTCGGCGGCGCCCACAAGACCCACAGACTGGCAAGTACAAGCGGTCGAACAAAAGGCCCGCCAAGGCGCTGGAAAAGCGAGAGCTTCGCAAGCGCATCCACAGGCTACGGAAAGAAACTTGTGAGGAACAAGAACAAACACAAGCATCATCCAGCAAGCAGCAAAACGAGAACAAAGGTCAGGTGAAAAGGAAGGAGTCCCCAGACCCATCCTCACACCAAACCCAATCTGACACGAGCACCTCCGGTTCCGAAACGGTTGAGAGTGACTCATCATCTATTTGCGTGGTTGCTCCGGCGCATCGCCGTGGAGAGCCGCATCCCTGAAGGCTTGAGCCACGTGCCTTGTTAGCATTGTTGCCAAGTTGTTGTCACAATGTCAACTTCCGAACAGCAAATGCAACAGTTAGCTGATCAGGTACAAATGCTGACAGCCGAACTGGCAGCACAAAGGTTGGAACTAGATGCCGCCAAAAACGCGTTAGACCAACAAACGCAAACAGCAACAGCAGCATTGTCAGTTGCACAAGCAGCTATTGCACAAATGGGGAAAACCGAAACCCAAAAGAAAACGTGGAATCCCAAGTTGGTAAACCCACCGGATCCCTTCCAAGGTACGGATGCCGACTGGGAGCGCTACAAGTTCGGTTTTGCAACGTGGATCAGCACAGTGGATCCTACGTATCCAGATCTACTGAGGAAAACCGAGCTGGAAAGAGATGAGGTGGCAACACTTGAAATGACTGAAGCCGATGAGCAGTTGTCAACTAATTTGTTCGCCATTTTGGTCGGACAGTGTCAAGCCGGCGAAATCCCTGCAATGGCCATGTTAGTCCCAGAACGAAACGGTCTGGAACTATGGCGACGCATGCATGCCCGATTCGAGCCAGAAAATAAGCACAAACCGTTTGCATGGTTGAGAGCTTTGTCGAACCCCACGTTCCCGACAAAACAAACCTTGTGGCAAAGAGGTTTGGAAGAATGGGAAGGAGAAATTGCAAAGTACGAAGGAGAGTACACAAAACAATTCGACGAAGACCTGAAACGGGCAATTTTGTCCGAAGTGGCCCCAAAAGCGTTAGCCCCCCAGATCGCCATGAACTCATCAAACCTTACGTCTTACAAATTGATGAGGGAATTCACAGTGCAGTATTTGAAATCGAAAAACCTATGGAAACGTAGTGCGGGAACATCTTTTGGATCCATGGCCGCATCGTCGACATCATCCGCTGCGCACACCTCTGGGCCAGTTCCCATGGAGGTTGGTGCACTGGATGCTGCGGACCCTGCAGCAAAGCAAAAAGGAAAGTCAACAGGACACAAAGGAAATCAAAACGGTAAAGGTGGAAACAAAGGAGGAACAAAAGGTGATGGGAAAGGCAAGGACAAGGGCAGAGGAAAGCAAAACCCGAGCAAATCGAATGCGAAAGGCGAGTATTGCGCGATTTGCGGTCCAGAGAAAGGTAAAAACCACAGTACAGAAAATTGTTTCTTCAACGCCAGGTCGCACCCGAAAGGTGAAGGCAAAGGAAACAAGAAAGGATCCGCCAAATCCAACTCCGTAAATGCAATCGACGCGGCAAACGACGAAACACCCGTGCCTGCAGTTTTATCGACGTTGCAACAACAAATCGATGCGTTGAAACAAGTCACAGCAAACCAAGGCCAGGCAGGCAATCCTCAGCCCCCATCAGCGCAAAACAAAAAGACCCATCAGGGTGCAGTGACATCCTCAGGATCGAACATGTGCTTTGCAGTGGGCGATTCTCCGGCGAAGGCCGTTGAGAAAACCAAAGTGCAACCAGTCACGCCGTCTCCGCACAACAGCGTGGCAGCACTGCAAACAACAAAGTACATCATGGTTGACTCTGGTGCCACAACAAGTTGTGCCAACAAAATGTTATTTCCACAAGCTATGGTGGACCCAACCAAAACCAAAGAGTTGTGGGCCATCAATGGAACTCGTATCCACCACGAGGGCGAAATGCAAGCAACAACCCAGGTCACTGCAACCACACCGTTTGGAGAAACCACGGTGGTACCGGCCACTTTTCCGAATGGAAATCACTGACACCATGGAACCCGTCATGGCATTTTGCCGGATTTTGGACGATGCTGATTGCGACCTGCATTTCTTCCGCTCTTCCTCTGGCAAGGTTTCGTGCCTGGTAACTCCGGATGGGAACACTGTTGAGTTGCCACGTTTCGGATCACGGTTTTATCTGCTATACGAAGACCGACCAAGCGCAGCCGCAGCATCCGCAGCACAATTGGTAGCAGCCGTTGGTGACATGGAAAGCGACGTTGGTGATCGCGAAATCCGGGCAGATGACGCTAGCGTGGACGGTGAAGTTGTGGAACCAACAGTTGAGCCACAATCCCTACCGCAACCTCCAACACCTACGGATGAAGCGCGACAATTGCATGAACTCACGCATGCAGATTTCGCCCCCTGGTGCCAACATTGCGTTGCAGGAAAGGCACCCGAAGACAAGCACGTCCGAACGAACAAACACGAAGATGCACAAATCCCCGTGATCCAAATCGACTACCAATTTTTCAGTCGTGATGGCGAATTGGTGGAGGAAGAAAGCCGCAGTGCAACGGTCCTCACTGGCGTTGACACATCGTCAGGTTTCCCAGTCATGATCTTTGCACGCCAAAAGGGTGTCGACGCATACGTGTTGAAAGCACTCATGGTATGGATCACGCGCCTTGGATACAACAAGGTGCTCCTGCAACATGATCCGGAGGAACCATTGCGTGCATTGCTGGAACAAGTACAGCAAAAATTGGGAGCAGACAAGGTACAACTGAGGGCCAGCCCGCGTTACAGTCACCAAAACCAAGGAGGCGTGGAAGGCATGAATCGGATGATGGCTGGTATGTTGCCAACATGGTTGTGCGCCCTTCGGGAAAAGTACCCACATCCAAATCAGCCGTTGGACATCAATCACATCATCGTGCCGTGGTTGTGCAAATGGGTTGCTTTTGTATGGGCTAGGTATGGGTAACCTCTCGAAGAGATGTGTCATTATGGGTTAAATCGATTGAGTGTGAACTGTCACACGTCAACTCATTTCCGCATGTCAGTTGTGAAAATTTCATTCGTGTAGTTTTGGTCCAAAGGGGGACCTCCTCAACATCCATAATGCCAGTGTGGCCAATGACTGGCTGTTCCCGATCAAGCTCCCGACGGAACAGCAGAACATCCCGCCGATTGAGGAGCTTGCGGCGTACTTGGTCCCCTTTGACCATGAACTTGATGTGAACGAAAGGCTGGTGCTCTTCGCACATCCGGGGGTGCACGAACAGATCTTGCACGTTCTGTCGTACACCACATTGCCGTTGAGGTTGTGCCCATCAAGGTGCTGGCACCGCACTTGCCAGTGCACCATCCTGACGCTCTGTGCCATCCCGTGCACCGCCCTTTTGTGGCGACATCGCAGCCTGGAACAGCGGCTCCAGAACCTTGAAGAGCGCCATCTTCGCCTTCAATATCAAGTTGGTCGCATCATCGAGACGCTGGGCTCTTGGGATGACACAGTGGCTACCATGTTTGGCCTTACTACACCACCACTTACAAATCCTACGGGGGGTCTAGTTCCAGTGGAGGTGCAGGATCTCGTGGACGTGAAGCAGAAGCAGGATCGCGTGGCACTGCAGGCCGTGAGGCAGATGCAGAGCATGGTACAAGGGCTACATCTGGCATATGATGGATGACCATCTTGGCGGGATCTGCGATTCGATCCTCATTGAGGTTGACATGGGGTGCGGCCAGAACCAAGAATTCTTTTTCGACCTGACCCCAGTGACATTTTTGCCGAACTCTTTCTCCCGTTGATGACCATGTGGTTTCAATGGCTCCTTTAGCAGAATGGACGAGAATCGAATGCGTCCTGGGTTCAACATGCCCCCCTTTCTTTTAAAGTAGTTTTGCGCAAGGCCTGAATCGAGGCCCAAATCTTTCCTGTGTGGAAAAGTTGAATCTGAATGAGCATGGATGTCAGTGTGGGCATGACATGTTTTGAGTGTCTATGCAGACACCACATGCCTGTTGCAGTGTGCGCATGGCGGATGTATGAACACTCCTGCTCATCATGGTTCATAGTGTGCGCAGCCATTTTCCGGTGGGGGGGGGTACTTATTCGGTATTTGATTTGTTCGAACCTCAGGTAATGTTTCCTCAAACATTCCCCTTCCATGAGTGTGCATGGATTTCACCGATGTGGTGGGGCATTGTGCCAAATCAACCCCCAGGTGTGTGGGCCGGCCAGCCTCCGACTCGGTAATGCAGTGTGCATTCAAATGTAGATGTGTGCATTAGGGTCATTGATGTGAAAGTTTCTTTCCAAAGGGTCTTGGTTGGTGAACACTCTTAACCCTGGGAAGTTCTTTTCCTTATTTGTCTTCAGGTTTGACTGTGGGTTGCCTGGGTCTCAATGTGAGCTCCGTTCAACCCTTTTCTCCTCATGTGAGACAGTACATGTCAGATGTGTGTGTGTCAATGTGATACATCTGAAACGACATCCTGCCGTTACCAGGTGAGGATTTGCTTGGTTTGCCCCCCAGTGTGGGGGGGGTTGCCTGCACGATGTATGTGATGCATGAGCAACCCATGTTTGGCACTGGAGTCACTGAATGCTGGTTGATTCAGGCAGCATCCCTGTGTCCTGGAGGACTTGACGGTGTTTCGCTCAGGCAATTCTCCCTGTATGTGAAGACGGGTTAATTGCATTCTTTTCATTTAATACACTCTCATCATGGGAAATGTGCCCAAGGTGATAATTCGGAGATTTTGTGGTGTCAGGCGCATGGGCTGTGGATCTTATTATGTTTGTATCCAGTGTCGACAGTGTGGTCGTCACACATGTTTGCCCATGTATGTGCATCACTGCGGTGCTGTGTGGCACGTCAGCTTTGCAGGCATCAGCTTCGTTGCGTTTTGCACCTGGGTCATGTTGGAACCTTGGACACTTTGCCCTGTGGAGTTTTAGTGAGTTGGCACACTTGCATTTGGGATTGATGTGTGAGCTCCAGACCTGTTGCCCGTGACTTGACCGGCATGCAGGCAATGGGTGCGCAGCTGGCTGGGCCGAGTGATCCGTTGGCTGATGTGGCAGGGCTGTCACGGACTGATAGAGACAGAATGCACAATGCCATTTCAGATGCACAGCTGTCATGTTCCGTTGTGCCTGACATTGTAATGCCTTGGAACCTTCCTGGCCTATCCATGGTGCTGGGCGATGAGAGCGAAACAATCGTTCCGTCAGTGCCAACTGTTCCTGGGTATGTCGAGCCTGCACTGGACCACCTCACACAAGATAGACCCTCACTACCTGTGAGGACCAAGGCAACTGCGTTTGAACATGCCATTGCTTTTGATTCACGGCGGGTTGTTCACTTAGATGATGATGAGCAGTTTAGGTTGTTGGTCCAGAAGTGGGAGGCAATGCTATCCATCAATTATCATGCCTTTGACCTTGGAGTCGAGATTTCTGGTCTGTCCCAGGAAGAACGGTTGAGGGCAGTAAGTGAGGTGCTGGGTGGCAAGGCTGTCGCCACCGTCCGACAGAGGTTGGCCCAACTTGGAAAATACGTGAAGTGGGCAACGAGCGATGCTAAGCGCCCCCCTTTTCCTGTTACAGCTGAGCTCATCAAAAATCACATCAGACACTTAAGGAATGAGTCAGCAACCTGACTGTTGGGTTCCATGACGTGATGAAGTTCTCCAAGCATGTGATGGGTTTAGAGTGCGATGTGACTGCCTTCGAAACTGCTTGGGTGAATGGTATCTTCAGGTTGGCTGGGCAGAATCGCCCGATGCGGAAACAATCCAGCGTCCTCACTGTCTCGGCACTCCAATTTTTGGAGGCTGAGTTGGACAACGAGAATCTGGCTCTGGTGGACAGGTACGCCATAGGTGTCGTCCTTTTTGCAACGTACTCAAGGGCCCGATTCGGTGACCTCAGGAAGATCTCCTCAGTGATTTTGGATGAGGCAAACTCCACGAGCACGGGTTGCCTGGGATACATTGAGATGAACTCAGCATCCCACAAGATGAGAGCGTTTGGGAACCGTCTTGGAGCACATGTTCCATTGGTCGCCCCCATCAAAGGGTTGGGCAAAACGGCTTGGGGCAAAACATTCATCTCGCTTGCCACCAAAGTGGGCCTCAACTTGACAGCATGGTGCCCACTTTGCCCTTTGCTGCCTGCACCAAATTTGATGGGTGACTGGACAGGGAGAGCCACGACTTCTGGAGAGATCAACAAGTGGATTGTGCAACTGCTGGTGAGGAGCGGCTTCGACACCAGTGGCTTCTCTCCACATGGGTGCAAGGCGACAACACTCACAATGCTTGCAAAGTATGGTGCAGATTTGGAAACGAGGTTGATACTTGGTCATCATCAGACCAAACAGGGAACGTCGGAAGTCTATGCACGTGATGTGCAATCAGCCCCGCTCAGGGTTTTGGAAACTATGTTCCGAGACATACGTCTTGGTCACTTCTGCCCAGATGAGACGCGGTCTGGCATGATCCAGAAATGTGACGGCACAGTCTCGCTTCAACCAACCCTCTTACCTTTGCCTGCAGTGGGAGAGGATGTGCCTGAAGAGCCATCCATGATGCCAGTCGTCACCAACGAAGTGATTTTTGGGGACGTCGACAGTGAGGGTACATCCATGGGTCCCCCCACTGAGTCTCTCAATGAAGACGCTGGCAATGGTGCTCCAGAAGAGGATGATGATTCTTCCTCGTCCTCCTCCACATCGAGCTCTGAGGACAGCCTTGACGAGATGGTCGAAGAGCTGGCACAACAGCCCAGAGATGATACAATACATGAGGCTGCATCGTCAGACCGACGACAACCATCCTTCTTCCAGCACCGAAGCTCCAAAGTTGTCCACATGTTATCACAAGGTTTTGGCAAGTCCTTTCTGTGTGGGAGGCAACTCAGCAAGGAATACAGGGCGTGCTCTCTCCTTTTGGTCGTTGGAACAATGAAGTGCCAGCAGTGTGTCAAGAGACACAAGGGGCGCAGCAGAGACATCGATGATGCACAGCTCGACTCAGCAGTTAAGCGAGCACGAGTTGAGTAAAAAAAAATATGTGAGTTGATTCCAGTTGATTTCGCATATGTCAAGCATGTGGCAATGTCCAAAAGGCCTGTCCGGTGAGATGTTCACCCAATGAATCACATGATCAATGTGATCCGTGTGCGTTCTATGAGCAGGCTCAAAAAAATATATATTTTTATCAACTTAACAAACCATCATGCTGTCAGGTGTTGACACATGCGAGGTTCATCTTTACAGGCAACATGACACATCCAATCTCCTGTTCATTCGATACCATCCGCTGTGATTTGACCATGGCGACAATTCTGGATTCCAGGGCCGCATTTGTTGCAAGAGCTCAGGAGCATGGCCTGACGACTGATCAGCTGGGCCGACTTAGAGACCAAGGGATCACAAGTTTGGCACAACTGGCGTTTGCATTGACCACACCAGGCACAGCACCAGACGAGGAATCCCTCAAGAGCCTCTTGTCGGACAATCCGGATCAGGTCACTGTTGGTCAGCTGTCTTCTATCCGTCGCCTGACATTTGATGCCCAGACATTATCAGCTGCACAAGTCAAACACATTTTGGCCGGCACAGAGACAGCACGCAAAGCTGAGCTTGTTCCTGCGGAGAGATCTCAAAGGATTCAAGATCAGCGTGATCGCCTCCAAGGCATGGACCTCTCTGGACCACTGGAGTGCAGTCATGCATCCTATGACTATGTCGCCAAAATGCTGGAACAAGGAACACCAATGTACCTGGAGCCTCACAGGTTCACAACAAGATCAGCAGAGGTTGCGAGAGAGAAGCCTGGAAAAGAGATCATACTTGACCAGACTCACCTGACGGTCAAGGAAATCGAGAACAAGGACAAATGTCCTATGCAAGGAGAACTTCAAGTTTTCCAGGCCTTGACCAGGCATTCCTTAGCCTGTGACCTGATGGGGGTGTGCACTTTCCGCACCATGGAGAAGTGGCATCGTTTCCTCATGGACAGCATGCAGATTGCAGCACCCCCGGGATACAAGTCAGCGACCATTGAGCAGATCCTGCGGGCAGACCGAGCCGGTTGGATCAGGCTTGCAGAGCGCATCGACACTTTGCGTCGAGCCCCAGATGGGTCGTTGCCCCTTGACAAAGCCATTGACGAGTTGCGCACAGACCCCAATGTTGTTTTTCACATGATGCCTTTGCCCATGCCGCGAGCTCAAGAGAAGCCAGCTCCAACTAAACCGGCCAAGAAAGACTCCCCTCAGAAGCCTCAAGGTGGTCAAGGAAAGGGGCGCGGCAAAGGCAAGGGCAAAAGCAAGAACAACAAAGGGAAAATGCCCCTTGAGCTTGTGGGATTCAACCAGACCACCAAGTCAGGCAAGCGTGTGTGTTACAACTACAATTTGGCCAGGAGTTGTCCCTATGCGGAGCCCAACAAGGAGTGCAGCAAGGGGATGCATGTGTGCATCAAATGCGGAGGTGCCCATCCATTGCACCAATGCACCACAACGACCCCTGCGTGACTATCTGGGGACTCTTCTGTCCCCCCAACCCAGAAGAATCTTCTGGAACCTGGGCCCAAGCCCGACTTGCCTGATCGATGCATCAAGCGACACCACGACAATTTTTCTCAATTTGATGTGCAATTTTCAGAGCGTGTTTTTGGCAAATCCATTGCTGACCTCCTTTTTGTGGAGGTTTTCTCAGGGACTGGAGGCCTTACTGCAGCTATCCGCCACATTGGCTTGGCACACAGCATTGGAGTTGATGCCCATGTGACAAAGCGAGTCAAGGCTCCTGTCATCCGTTTGGATCTGACATCTGAACATGGGATTGAGCTCCCGTGGCGCATTCTACAACAAGACAATGTTGTCGCGGTACACCTTGGCCCTCCATGCGGCACCAGCTCTAGAGCCAGGGACATCCGCCGCCGGTCTGGCAGCGATCCGAAACCATTGCGTTCAGTCATACACCCGGATGGGTTACCCTGGCTACAAGGTCTTGACCTACAGAGGGTCACATCAGCAAACAAGCTCTATGACCTCACTGGCAGGATTTTTGCCTGGTGCTGTGACAATGGCCTCTTGTGCACCATCGAGAACCCTGTTCGATCACACATGTGGCGCACATCGCATCTTTCAAACCATTTGCATGGTCGATCGGGTATCATAGAGGTTTGCTTTCACACTTGCATGTACCTGGCCCAACGCAAGAAGCGCACCAAGTTATTGACTAATCACAAGGCCTTCACTGCCCTGGCTTGTGACTGCGATGACAGCCACCAACATCTACCATGGAGGCTCACAGGTGGTCAGTGGGCAACAGCACAGGAAACTGAGTACCCACACAAATTCTGCCAGGCATATGCCAAAGTTTGCTATCACCTGTTTCTACAACATGGGGCCGTGGCTATTCCACAGCAGATGGATCTTGATGCTGTCCAGCTTACTCAGGCCAGTCGTGCGGCCTTGGGCACACAACCTCGTGGCAAGAAACTCAAGCCCCTTGTACGGGAGTATGCAGCCAAGGTGACCATTCAGGGCCCACAAGAGTGCCTTCAAGCCCTACCTGACAAATGCCTTTCCGATGTCCCCTTGCCTGCCACTTGCACTCCTAGTTTTGCATTGTCAGCGTTGCCCACACATGCAACCAGACTCCAACCTCCGATGCCACTGGGGGATAATGCGGACCTTGGCATTTGGACAACTGAATATGGGATTGCATGGAAGCCAAATGAGTTTATCCAACAAGCGGCTGGACTGTCACACCCTGGACACTTCATGGATGGCGTCCACCCTGCGATGGTTGAGCTCTTTGACAGGTTGGCGCGAACATCAACAGCTGATGCAGCCCTTGAAAGATCGGCACAAATGCGCAAGTGGCTCCTGAGAGCTCAAGAACTTCGTGAACAAGGTGTGGATGGCTTAGAACAATCCCCGCTACACATCAAGCGCATCCTAAAGGGCAAAAACATGCAGCTCTTTGATGAGATGAATAGAGCGGCAGGATCACCAGACACCGGCTTGGCCTCGAATGTGTGCCAAGGCTTTGACCTTATGGGGGCCATCCCTGCAGGTGGAATTTTCCCTTGCAAATACACCCACGCTACCCTGACGCCTGGGCAAGTGAGGGACATGGCCAAGCTCTCGAAGCAGGCCACATGGAGAGCCACTGGGAGGTGCAAAGGCCAAGACTTGGCCGCAGAGGTCTACAAAGCGACCTGTGATGAATGTGACAAGGGGTGGCTACATGGCCCATTCCAGCTGCAAGAGCTCCCTGATGAAGCGGTGCTTACCAGAAGATTTGGCATCCAACAATCTGCCACCCTGGGCGATGGGAGTCGAGTCTACAAAACGAGGCCGATTGATGATTTTTCTGAATCATTGGTGAATTCCACGAACTCCTGCTCAGAGGCGATCCAACCTATGTCCATTGACATGATCCTTGCAGCGCTGGCCATGAGAGCCAGGAAATGTGGGGCAGAGAAACTCTTTGGGAAAGCCATTGACCTGCGGAAGGCTTATAAGCACCTCCCACTCTCAGAGTCAGCGCTTGGCGACGCCTACATTTGTGTCTTCTCGCCTGAGGCAGACCAGCCTGTAGCTTTCCAATCCCAGGTGCTCCCCTTTGGAGCAAGAGCAGCGGTCATGGGGTTCTGCAGGGTTTCCTATGCGCTCTGGTTGATGGGTGTTGCCATCTTCAACCTACATTGGACAGTATTCTTTGACGACTTCTATTTGATATCCTCCGAACCGGAGCGAAGGCACATTGACCTTGCACAGGGTGTCCTGTTCCAGCTCCTGGGCTGGGAGGTGTCGTCAGAGAAAGGAGCCGACTTCGATGCAGTGGCTCGCATCCTTGGGGTCCAGATTGACCTGAGTGAATCCTGCATTGGTGTTTTTACAGTGTGCAATGTTGATGCCAGGGTTAAGGAACTGGTGGCGACAATTGACCACATCCTTTCACAACAAACCCTGTCAGCGGCTGAAATGAGAGTGCTGAGGGGCAGGCTGGTCTTCGCTGAAGCTCAAATCTTTGGAAGGATTGCAGGGCTACACATGCAACAGTTGGGAAGATGGGAGCATGCAGTTGGCCACTCGCCAATTGACCCAGACCTGGAGGAAAGCCTATCCTTCCTCAGGGATCGGATCATACTTGGTGGTCCCAGAAGGATCATCTCAGATCATGGGAGGACATTCCACCTGTACACTGATGCTTGCCTGGAGAACGGTGTGGGCGGCATAGGTGGCGTGTTGCTGGACCAATGTGGTAAAGTTCTGTCCTTCTTTTCTCAGGTTGTCTCTGAACACCAAGTGGCTCTTTTGAATCCAAAACACAAGGAGACGATCATATTTGAGCTGGAAGCACTTGCCGTTTTGGTTGGGTGTACAACTCTTCTGCCTGCAGAAGGGATTCTGCCGAACGATCGCATAGTGGTGTTCATTGACAACAATTCAGTGTTGAGCAGACTGATATCTGGAAGATGTGGAAGTGAGCTTGATGGGAAGATCTTCCAACATGTCTTGGAATGGGAGTACAACACTAACTCCGTATGTTGGTATGAACGTGTGCCATCAGCAGCCAATGTGGCAGATGGGCCATCACGTGGCGACAAATCAGACCTTGAAGAAAACCTCGAAATTTTTGTGGAAGTCAGCGATGTGCTGCACGCTCTCAGTTTGGCGTCTCCCTGAATGTGATGTGGGGGAAGATGCAGCCAGACGATATCCCCATGTTAAAAAGTGAGAGAGCGTGTGCGAGTCCACTTGTCATTGCAATGTGCATGGATTGAGTTGCAAGAGATTACAAACCATAAGGGTAACCTCTCGAAGAGATGTGTCATTATGGGTTAAATCGATTGAGTGTGAGCTGTCACACGTCAACTCATTTCCGCATGTCAGTTGTGAAAATTTCATTCGTGTAGTTTTGGTCCAAAGGGGGTGTGAAATTTTCAACAACAAGAAAACCCCTCCCTCCCACTACCTTATCACAATTCTCATCTTTCACTCACTGCTTACTGTCACCAGATTTGCCTTCATTGACTTTGCATTGTGCATCCCCTCTCATGGCACTTGTGCCTCTCGGTGAGCCTCCGGCACTTCAGCATCTCCTGCAGAATGTTTTCATTGCAGATCGACAAGTCACCCTTCTTGACCGCATGCTCGGAGATCTCATCGACATGACCGACGATTTTGAGGACTTAGCAGCACCAGCAGTCCTTCGTCACCTACGTGGAACAATTCAATCCTTGGAGCGTGCCATCTACTTTGCCAAAATTGCCAAGCTTCACCAGATCATCAGATTGCACCGGGCGATCAGAACCACTTGGCATCGATGGCATGTTGCTCCACCGGTCGAATTGGATTTCAATTGATCACTGGAACAATGGTTCTCCAGTCTTTTAGTGGCCAATGTGTGCATACCGCACTTTTTCCGTCCTAGCCACACCGTGCAGATGCAGCCAGACGATATCCCCATGTTAAAAAGTGAGAGAGCGTGTGCGAGCCCACTTGTCATTGCAATGTGCATGGATTGAGTTGCAAGAGATTACAAACCATAACACATCAAAAATGACAACGTGACCGCATACAAAATCGTCACCTGCCGCGAGTACACGTCGCCAATCGTGCAATTTGGTGAGGTAGTCATGTGTAAGGTGCCCAAATTAAAGTCCGTTAGCAAAAGCAAACCCCGTTGGTTCAAAGGAATTTTCGCTGGCAGAACCGAAGCCGATGATTCAGCAATTGTCCGCACCAATGCTGGTGCGATGACAGTCCGGTCTATCCGTCGACTGCCGCAACCTGAGCAGCACAATGTGGGATTGCTGGACGGCGCACGTGGGTTGCCGTGGGCGTTAACAGCCGCAACACGTGCCAAAATCAAAACGGAAACAAGCCAGGTTGTGCCAATGCTACCCCCAACTGCCCCGTCCAACGGAAACAGCGATGACGACAGCAATGCGAGTGATAGCGACCCAAGTGCAAATTCAACATCGGAAACGAGCCCAGGCGATGACAACGACGACCACGCGATCGCGATCATGCCCAGCCAAGAGTTGAACATGCGATTGGCAGCTGAAAACGTTCCAGTCCCCAGTTCCGTCGTACCAACTCCAACGACACCGATGTTGACCCCCCAAGGGATGACGCCGCCCGAGTCCGTAAGTCCACCCGGCATGACACCGCCAGTCACTCCGGTTGAAATCCCGTTGAGTGATGGCGGAAGCCAACATGAGCAGATTGAGGGCGAACCAACCGCATCTCCCATCGCCGTGCCGTTACCCAAACGTGAAATAGGTGACGAACCAAGTTCCCCAACGAAGGTCCCACGGGTGGAAGTCCCTGAGACCCGGGCGCCCACACAAGGTGCTGGTGGAAGTGAGTCCCCGACCAAAATCCAAAGGATTGGGACAATCACAGCCGCACTTGGAAAAATCGAGGACTGGGCGCGCAGTGGCGCTTGGGAGAACAAGATTGCATCCGTATTGGTTCTATTGGACACCCAACTCGGCCCAAAAGAAGTCGAAAAGGCAAGGGAAGTGCAAATGGCAACTTTGGTTGAAAAAGAGTTTGCCGTTCCAAGGCTCAAACGCGAAATGTCCCGCAAATCGAAACTGTTCCATTACAAATGGGTGGATGAAATCAAAAGAGGCGCGTACCGCAGCAGGTTCACATCTGCGGACATAAAGCGCAAGTACACGCGAGAAGAACTCGAGGAGGAAACCAACACCTTCGCACCAACACCGTACGAAGAATCCCACGTTTTGCTCGAACTGAAGTGTTTGCAAGAGGGTTGGCACACAAGGTCAGGTGACGTCAGGTGCGCATACCTGTTGGGACGGGATTCCGGCGACTCTGCAGGGAACCCTGTTCACATCCGAATGGCCCCGGAATACCAGCCACATTTTCAAGCATGGCTACACCAGCAATCGCCTGAAGTGCAAGCAAAGTTCGAAGGAGTAGATTTGAACAAGGAGGTTGTGCTGGAGTTAGTTGGTAACCTGTATGGACGCCGACCGGCTGGAAACAACTACCGCAAAGAGTTCGAACAAGTAGTTACGGAGAAAATGGCCTCGAAAGGCTATCAGTTCCAAAGGGGCAAGCGCGACCCAACTGTGTACACCTGTGCCAAAACCGGTGCAACCATTCTCCACCATGTTGATGATCTGCGTGTAGGAGCCGCAGACGTTGATCTGCAGTTTCTGTTGTCCAAGCAAGGTCTAGGCGAATTCCTGGACATGAAGGCAGGTAGGTAAGGTAGAAGCACCCGGAACAAAGGTAAATGTATTAGGTAGGACAAAAGTACGCACCCAAGATGCATTCTTTACCCTGCCTGAGGACAAACACCGAGACAACATCCTCACACTCCTCGACCTCTGGCACGCCAAGCCGTCGAAGGTTGCAGGAAAGAAAATCACCCGAACTGAAGACAACACAAAGCCTGTAGATGAACACCGAGCCGTGCTGCACCCAAAATGTGTAGGAAACGCAATCTACCTCAGCATCGATCGGAGGGACATCCGTTTCGAAGTAAAGGAATTAGCTCGACACATGCGGGATCCTCGTGAAGTAGATTGGGACAATCTCCTGACCCTAGGACGTTATCTCCTTCACAAACCGGCCCTCGCAAGAGTTGTCACGTGGAATCCCGAAAGTAGAGCCTCCGGCATCTTGACCGTGGATGGCTTTACGGATTCCGATTGGGCAGGTTGCCTTGACACACGTAGGTCCAGTGATTGCAGTGTAGTAATCGTAGGAGGCAGTGTCGTAATAGCGCACCCACAAACGCAGCCCGGCCTCCCCGCTACCTCTTCTGGCGAAGCCGAGGCACGAGCTTTGAGCCGAGGGGCGCGGGATATCATGTTCATCAAACAGCTTGGTGAAGAGGATTTTGGTTTAAAAATGGCCGTACCGCGTGTTTGGACAGATGCCAGCACCGCATTGCAAACAGCAAAGCGTTTGGGCGCAGGCTCCCGGATGCGTCCCATCGATGTAGCTGCGCTGTACGTCCAAGAGTTGGTGTACCAAAAACAGTTGAAAGTCGGCAAGGTAGCTGGGACAGCAAACCCGTCCAATTGTCTCACAAAGCATTTGGATGCCAAATTGAAGGGTGAATGCCTTGAAGATTTAGGCATGGTAGATATCAGTAGCTCAGACTGGCAGCCGCTGATTGAAGCCGCTGAACAAATTGAACTCGTAGCAGCCTTGTTGTCCCAACGCCCAAAAACGAAAGCGAACACACCGTGGAAACCAAATTTCGCAATCGCCGCTGATGCGCTCCAAATTTGCATCTTACAATCGTTGGCCGGAGTGTCCACAGCAAAACCCCAGGTTACGCTTCACTCAGGCATTGCCTTGGAGTGA